CATCTTCCTCAATTCGTAGCGTCGCCATTTGCCGTTCCAACACCACAGCTACCGCCGCTGTTGCAGTAGCGTGTACACCCTTGGGAGCAGCCCATGCCTTTGGTCCCTTCTCTGGTTCACGCTGGAAAGGCTTGATGTGACGGATCTGGCTGCTCCCCAACGCTTGCCCAAGTAGGAGGTAGCCTTGTGCGCTCTTCCGCACCCACGGGCTCTTCTCCGGGTCGTTCTCGAGACGCTTCTCCGTTCCTTCCATCACCTCCAGCAGGTCATAATGGTCGAACACATTCTCCATTCTGAAGGACCATTCAGCAAAGTTGTCGCCGTTGAACTTGTCAAGCCCGAACACTCTTAGCTCGTCCCTAGAAGGTCCAAGAGTCGGTTGCACGGGCGCCACGGCTGACTCACGGGCTTGGCCTTGTGCCTGGGCATCTCCATTGCCACCAGCACCTCTGCCACCTCTTCCTTCAGGTCCAGCCATAGTCGTATTTGCTCCAAGGGGCTCTGATACCACTTGTTATAGTCACAGTAGGCTTCAATGTGCCTAAAACTAAAGATAGAGTGCGCAGTCAGATTTTTGCACAGCGGCTTTAAACGTTCATAGCGATCTGGTCACAGCTCCAAACGACCTCATTCAACTTGGATCTGGAGCGCCTTAACGTCGCCTACAATAGGCAATTTAGATCGCACGATTTAAGAATTGACGACACAGCGTCGGTTTGAACGAACGGCACTATGGCAGCAACATAGTCTTAGGACACAAATTAGGAAGAGTTGGGAAGGGTTACGAGTTGGGAATGACTCCCAGCTCCTACAAACCCCAAGAGCCGAGGTACAGTGATGTGGAACAGTGCCACACTGTCCCCAACCACGAAGGGTCTCGAAACTACCCTTCACTAGGGCCTACACCAAGTGAAATGTTACACTACACAAAGTAATGTAACTATCTTCAATATCTTGAGGTGTACCCATTTTGCGGGCTTCGCGATCACTTGAATGTTGACACCAGGGCTCGGGTTCTTCATCACAAAACTCATCCTTGAGTTCTTGATGGGTCTGCTGCACACACCTGCGACACGCCAAACGTTCGACAAGCGACAAAAGAGAAACCGCGCACGACAAAATAGAAACCGCGCGCGAGACACAAATGACTGCATTAACACGCGGCTTACGATAACTCGCTATTGACTTGACACACACACTCGACATCATGACCCATCATTCACACACCATTATAAGTATGAAATATATATTTATTTCATGCACTCATACCATTCCATGCATACACGCATGCACGCACACGGACAACAAGCCGAGTGCAAACCGTAGGTTGCACCAACAGGCCGCGTCTGTCGACAAATGCTAAGGAAGCGCACGGATCCCTATAGGCGTAGGGAAAAGCATCAAAAGACATGAATGTTGTTGCATATTTGGGTGGCCCATGCTCAAATACACCTACCAGAGCAATTCCGGCTTGGTTCGCGCGCATAGAAAAGTTCGGCGCCTGCGATGACGGCCGCGTCTGCTGACAAATGCTAAAAAAGCGCTCGGATTCCTATAGGCGTAGGGAAAAGAGTCGAACGACCTGAGTGTTGTTGCTTATTTGGATGGCCCATGCTTAAATACACTTACTAGAGCAATTCCGGCTTGGTTCGCGCGCACAGAAAAGTTCGGCGCCTGCGATGACGGCCGCGACTGCCGAGAAATACTAAGGAAGCGCACGGATCCCTATAGGCGTAGGGAAAAGCATCAAACGACCTGAATGTTGTTGCTTATTCGGATGGCTCATGCTTAAATACACCTACCAGAGCAATTCCGGCTTGGTTCGCGCGCACAGAAAAGTTCGGCGACAGCGATGACGACCGCGTCTGCCGACAAATGCTAAGGAAGCGCACGGATCCCTATAGGCATAGGGAAAGGCATCGAACAACCTGAATGTTGTTTCATATTTGAGTTGCCCATGCTCAAATACACCTACCAGAGCAATTCCGGCTTGGTTCGCGCGCATAGAAAAGTTCGGCGCCTGCGATGACGGCCACGTCTGCCGACAAATGCTAAGGAAGCGCTCGGATCCCTACAGGCGTAGGGAAAACCGTCGAACGTTCTGAATGTTGTTGCACATTTGGGTGGCCCATGCTCAAAAACACCTACCAGAACAATTCTGGCTTGGTTCGCGCGCACAGAAAGTTCGGCGCCTGCGGTGACGGCCGCGTCTGCCGTCAAATGCTAAGGAAGCGCTCAAATCCCTACAGACGTAGGGAAAAGTGTCGAACGACATGAATGTTGTTGCATATTCGGGTGGCCCATGCTCAAATATTCCAAGCAAAGCAATTCCGGCTTGGTTCGCGCGCCGACCAGAGCGAGCATCGTGACGAGCGAGCATCGTGACAGGTTTGTTGTAAGTTTTCGATATATATCTGGTAGATTGTTATAAGTTTAAAAAAAACAAAATGTCACGTTTTTTCCATATATATATCTAAAACTCTCATTTATAAAAGAACATTTGATCACATGAGCTCAGTTGAACGTATTGAAGTTTTATGATAATTAATATTGCTATCGAATGTTTCTAAGATAACATATATATTTTTCACGATGTTATTACTCTTAAAACTATGTAATCTGTCATACGAAAGTTATGCTGTTATATGTTCTATGTTATTACTATTGGAACATGTTTTTAGCATTTGTTATATATGCTATCGAGCGTGCATTGTGACGAGCAAGCATCGTGACGAGCGAGCATCGTGACGAGCGAGCATCGTGACGAGCGAGCATCGTGACGAGCGAGCATCGTGACGAGGAGCATCGTGACGAGCGAGCATCGTGACGAGCGAGCATCGTGACGAGCGAGCATCGTGACGAGCGAGCATCGTGACGAGCGAGCATCGTGACGAGCGAGCATCGTGACGAGCGAGCATCGTGACGAGCGAGCGTAGTGACGAGCGAGCATCGTGACGAGCGAGCATCGTGACGAGCGTGCATCGTGACGAGCGAGCATCGTGACATGTTTCGATTTATATCTGGTAGTTTGTTGTAAGTTTCTTGCAAACAAAATTTCAAGTTTATTCCATATATATATATGTCTCTCTCTCTCTCTCTCTCTCTCTCTCTCTATATAAAACTATAATTTGTAAAAGAACATTTGATCACATGAAATCTGACGGCCGCGTCTGCCAACAAATGCTAAAGAAGCGCTCGGATCCCTATACGCGTAGCGAAAAGCGTTGAACGACCTGAATGTTGTTGCATATTCGGGTGGCCCATGCTCAAATATACCTACCAACGCAATTCCGACTTGGTTCGCGCGAACAGAAAAGTTCGCCGCATGCAACGACGGCCGCGTGTGCCGACAGATGCAAAGGAAGCGCTCAGATCCATATAGGCGTAGGGAAAAGCGTCGAACGACATGAATTTCGTTGCTTATTCGGGTGGCCCATGCTGAAATACACCTACCAGAGCAATTCCGGCTTGGTTCGCGCGCACAGAAAAGTTCGGCTCCTGCGACGACGGCCGCGTCTGCCGACAAATGCTAAGGAAGTGCTCGGATCCCTATAGGCGTAGAGAAAGGCGTCGGACGACATGAATTTCGTTGCATATTCTGGTGGCCCATGCTGAAATACACCTACGAGAGCAATTCCGGCTTGGTTCGCGCGCACAAAAAAAATCGGCGCCTGCGATGACGGCCGCGTCTGCCGACAAATGCTAAGGAAGCGCATGGGTCCCTATAGGCGTACGGAAAAGCGTCGAACGCCCTAAAATTCGTTGCATATTCGGGTGGCCCTTGCTCAAATACACTGACCAGAGCAGTTTCGGCTTGGTTCGCGCGCACAGAAAAGTTTGGCGCCTGCAACGACGGCCGCGTGTGCCAACAGATGCAAACGAAGCGCTCGGATCCCTATAGGCGTAGGGAAAAGAGTCGAACGACCTGAGTGTTGTTGCTTATACAGGTGGCTTGTGCTTAAATAAACCTACCAGAGCAATTCCGGCTTGGTTCGCGCGCACAAAAAAGTTCTGTGATGACGGCCGCGACTGCTGACAAATCCTAAGGAAGCGCACGGATCCCTATAGGCGTAGGGAAAAGCATCGAACGACCTGAATGTTGTTGCTTATTCGGATGGCCCATGCTTAAGTACACCTACCAAAGCAATTTCGGGTTGGTTCGCGCGCACATAAAAGTTCGGCGCTTGCGATGACGGCCGCGTCTGCCGGCAAATGCTAAAGAAGCGCTCGGATCCCTATAGGCGTAGGGAAAAGAGTCGAACGACCTGAGTGTTGTTGCTTATACGGATGGCCCATGCTTAAATACACCTACCAGAGCAATTCCGGCTTGGTTCGCGGGCACAGAAAAGTTCGGCGCCTCCGATGACGGCCGCGTCTACCGACAAATTCTAAAGAAGCGCACGGATCCCTATAGGCGTAGGGAAAAGCATCGAATGACCTGAATGTTGTTGCAGATTCGAGTTGCCCATGCTCAAATACACCTACAAGAGCAATTCCGGCCTGGTTCGCGCGCATAGAAAAGTTTGGCGCCTGCGATGACGGCCGCGTCTGCCGACAAATGCTAAAGAAGCGCTCGGATCCCTATAGGCGTAGGGAAAAGAGTCGAACGACCTGAGTGTTGTTGCTTATTCGGATGGCCCATGCTTAAATACACCTACCAGAGCAATTCCGGCTTGGTCCGCGCGCACAGAAAAGTTCGGCGCCTGCGATGACGGCCGCGACTGCCGACAAATGGTAAGGAAGTGCACGGATCCCTTTAGGCGAAGGAAAAAGCATCGAACGACATGAATGTTGTTGCTTATTCGGATGGTCCATGCTTAAGTACACCTACCAGAGCAATTTCGGGTAGGTTCGCGCGCACAAAAAAGTTCGGCGCTTGCGATGACGGTCGCGTCTGCCGGCAAATGCTAAAGAAGCGCTCGGATCCCTATAGGCGTAGGGAAAAGAGTCGAACGACCTGAGTGTTGTTGTTTATACGGGTGGCCCATGCTTAAATACACCTACCAGAGCAATTCCGGCTTGGTTCGCGCGCACAAAAAAGTTCGGCGCCTGCGATGACGGCCGCGTCTGTCGACAAATGTTAAGGAAGCGCACGGATCCCTATAGGCGTAGAGAAAAGCATACGGCGGGGTGATGGAAAGTGGGAGAATGGGGTGGGGTGATGGAAAGAGGGAGAATGGGGTGGGGTGATGGAAAGAGGGAGAATAGGGCGGGGTGATGGAAAGCGGGAGAATGGGGCGGGGTGATGGAAAGCGAGAGAATGGGGCGGGGTCATGGAAAGAGGGAGAATGGGGCGGGGTGATGGAAAGCAGGAGAACGGGGCGGGGTGATGGAAAGCGGGAGAATGGGGCGGGGTGATGGAAAGCGGGAGAATGGGGCGGGATGACGGAAAGCGGGAGAATGGGGCGAGGTGATGGAAAGCGGGAGAATGGGGCGGGGTGATGGAAAGCGGGAGAATGGGGCGGGGTGATGGAAAGCGGGAGAATGGGGCGGGGTGATGGAAAGCGGGAGGATGGGGCGGGGTGATGGAAAGCGGGAGGATGGGGCGAGGTGATGGAAAGCGGGAGAATGGGGTGGGTTGATGGAAAGTGGGAGAGTGGGGCGGGGTGATGAAAAGCGGGAGAATGGAACGGGGTGATGGAAAGCGGGAGAATGGGGCGGGGTGATGGAAAGCGGGAGAATGGGGCGGGGTGGTGGAAAGCGGGAGAATGGGGCGGGGTGATGGAAAGTGGGAGAGTGGGGCGGGGTGATGGAAGGAAGGAGAATGGGGCGGGGTGATGGAAAGCGGGAGAATGGGGCGGGGTGATGGAAAGCTGGAGAATGGGGCGGGGTGATGGAAAGCGGGAGAATGGGGCGGGGTGATGGAAAGCGAGAGAATGGGGCGGGGTGATGGAAAGCGGGAGAATGGGGCGGGGTGATGGAAAGCGGGAGAATGGGGCGGGGTGATGGAAGGAGGGAGAATGGGACGGGTTGACGGAAGGAGGGAGAATGGGGCGGGGTGATGGAAAGCAGGAGAATGGGGCGGGGTGATGGGAAGCAGGAGAATGGGGCGGGGTGATGGAAAGCGGGAGAATGGGGCGGGTCGATGGAAGGAGGGAGAATGGGGCGGAAGGAGGGAGAATGGGGCGGGGAGATGGAAAGCGGGAGCATGGGGCGGGGTGATGGAAAGAGGGAGAATGGGGCGGGGTGATGGAAGGAGAGAGAATGGGGCGGGGTGATGGAAGGAGGGAGAATGGGGCGGGGTGATGGAAAGCGGGAGAATGGGGCGGGGTGATGGAAGGAGGGAGAATGGGGCAAGGTGATGGAAAGTGGGAGAATGGGGCGGGGTGATGGAAAGGGGGAGAATGGGGCGGGGTGATGGAAAGCAGGAGAATGGGGCGGGGTGATGGAGAGCGGGAGAATGGGGCGATGGAAAGCGGGAGAATGGGGCGGGGTGATGGAAAGCGGGAGAATGGGGCGGGGTTATGGAAGGAGGGAGAATGGGGCGCGGTGATGGAAGGAGGGAGAATGGGGCGGGGTGATGGAAAGCGGGAGAATGGGGCGGGGTGATGGAAGGAGGGAGAATGGGGCGGGGTGATGGAAGGCGGGAGAATGGGGCGGGGTGATGGAAAGCCGGAGAATGGGGCGGGGTGATGGAAAGCGGGAGAATGGGGCGGGGTGATGGAAAGCGGGAGAATGGGGCAGGGTGATGGAATGCGGGAGAATAATGCGGGATGATGGAAAGCGGGAGAAAAGGGCGGGATGATGGAAAGCGGGAGAATGGGGCGGGGTGATGGAAAGCTAGAGAATGGGGCGGGGTGATGGAAAGCGGGAGAATGGGGCGGGGTGATGGAAAGCGGGAGAATGGGGCGGGGTGATGGAAAGCGGGAGAATGGGGCGGGGTGATGGAAGGGGAGAATGGGGCGGGGTGATGGAAGGAGGGAGAATGGGGCGGGTGATGGAAAGCGGGAAAATGGGGCGGGGTGATGGAAAGAAAGAGACTGGGGCGGGGTGATGGAAGGAGGGAGAATGGGGCGGGGTGATGGAAGGAGGGAGAATGGGGCGGGGTGATGGAAAGCGGGAGAATGGGGCGGGGTGATGGAAGGAGGGAGAATGGGGCGGGGTGATGAAAAGCGGGAGAATGGGGCGGGGTGATGGAAAGCGGGAGAATGGGGCGGGGTGATGGAAAGCTGGAGAATGGGGCGGGGTGATGGAAAGCGGGAGAATAGGGCGGGGTAAAGGAAAGCGGGAGAATGGGTCGGGGTGATGGAATGCGGGAGAATGGGGCGGGGTGATGGAAGGAGGGAGAATGGGGCAGGGTGATGGAAGGAGGGAGAATGGGGCGGGGTGATGGGGGGTGATGGAAGGCGGGAGAATGGGGCGGGGTGATGGAAGGAGGGAGAATGGGGCGGGGTGATGGAAGGAGGGAGAATGGGGCGGGGTGATGGAAGGAGGGAGAATGGGGCGGGGTGATGGAAAGTGGGAGAATGGGGCGGGGTGAAGGAAAGAGGGAGAATGTGGCGGGGTGATGGAAGGAGGGAGAATGGGGCGGGGTGAAGGAAAGCGGGAGAATGGGGCGGGGTGATGGAAAGCGGGAGAATGGGGCGGGGTGATGGAAAGCGGGAGAATTGGGCGGGGTGATGGAAAGCAAGTGAATGGGGCGGGGTGATGGGAAGCGGGAGAATGGGGCGGGGTGATAGAAAGCGGGAGAATGGGGCGGGGTGATGGAAGGAGGGAGAATGGGGCAGGGTGATGGAAGGAGGGAGAATGGGGCGGGGTGATGGAAAGCGGGAGAATGGGGCGGGGTGATGGAAAGCGGGAGAATGGGGCGGGGTGATGGAAAGCGGGAGAATGGTGCGGGGTGATGGAAGGAGGGAGAATGGGGCGGGGTGATGAAAAGCGGGAGAATGGGGCGGGGTGATGGAAAGCGGGAGAATGGGGCGGGGTGATGGAAAGCGGGAGAATGGGGCGGGGTGATGGAAAGCGGGAGAATGGGGCGGGTGATAGAAAGCGGGAGAATGGGGCGGGGTGATGGAAGGAGGGAGAATGGGGCGGGGTGATGGAAGGAGGGAGAATGGGGCGGGGTGATGGAAGGCGGGAGAATGGGGCGGGGTGATGGAAAGCGGGAGAATGGGGCGGGGTGATGGAAAGCGGGAGAATGGGGCGGGGTGATGGAAAGCGCTTGAATGGGGTTGGGTGATGGAAGGAGGGAGAATGGGGCGGGGTGATGGAAGGAGGAAGAATGGGGCGGGGCGATGGAAAGCGGGAGAATGGGGAGGGGTGATGGGGTGGGGTGATGTAAGGAGGGTGAATGGGGCGGGGTGATGGAAGGAGGGAGAATGGGGCGGGGTGATGGAAAGCGGGAGAATGGGGCGGCGTGATGGAAAGCGGGAGAATGGGGCGGGGTGATGGAAAGCGGGAGAATGGGGCGGGGTGATCGAAAGCGGGAGAATGGAGCGGGGTGATGGAAAGCGGGAGAATGGGGCGGGGTGATGGAAAGTGGGAGAATGGGGCGGGGTGATGGAAGGAGGGAGAATGGGGCAGGGTGATGGAAGGAGGGAGAATGGGGCGGGGTGATGGAAAGCGGGAGAATGGGACGGGATGATGGAAAGCGGGAGAATGGGGCGGGGTGATGGAAAGCGGGAGAATGGGGCGGGGTGGTGGAAAGCGGGAGAATGGGGCGGGGTGATGGAAAGTGGGAGAGTGGGGCGGGGTGATGGAAGGAAGGAGAATGGGGCGGGGTGATGGAAAGCGGGAGAATGGGGCGGGGTGATGGAAAGCTGGAGAATGGGGCGGGGTGATGGAAAGCGGGAGAATGGGGCGGGGTGATGGAAAGCGAGAGAATGGGGCGGGGTGATGGAAAGCGGGAGAATGGGGCGGGGTGATGGAAAGCGGGAGAATGGGGCGGGGTGATGGAAGGAGGGAGAATGGGACGGGTTGACGGAAGGAGGGAGAATGGGGCGGGGTGATGGAAAGCAGGAGAATGGGGCGGGGTGATGGAAAGCAAGAGAATGGGGCGGGGTGATGGAAAGCGGGAGAATGGGGCGGGTCGATGGAAGGAGGGAGAATGGGGCGGAAGGAGGGAGAATGGGGCGGGGAGATGGAAAGCGGGAGCAT